CTATAAATAAAACTAATCTAGGAATCCTCAAGAGCACTGCAATGTAATCAGCTTGCCCTCTAAAAAGGAGTGGCAGGGAGAGTGCGAAGGAAGCCTTTGTGCAAGAGAGCACACAAATTTAAACACCGACGCAAGATGCAATACCCAGTCTACGTACCTCAACTGCTGCCGATTCAATGTCATTCAGCACTGACTGAAATATACAAACCTGTTTTGGTACAAAATGTTTCCCACTGGCTCATACACACGGTCGCACTGCGGCCGAGGGGAGGAAGTTCTAATTCTGCGCACACAAGTGGGAGGGGAAATTTTTGACCAGACAATTCTGTGAGAATGTCATTGTTGAGAGGCACGGTGGGGGAGGGAGGAGGGTGGCAAAGAGAAAGAAAAAAGGAAGTACTGTACTATAGCTGTCACTTCAATCTGCCTCCCTCCAGGAAGAGTTAGAGGAGAGTTTAAGGGGAGAGGAAAACATACACTCATTCTGGTACATCTATCTCACAAAGTTAGATGTACTCACACACTCCATTCTGACAAATTTTACGCACAGTTTCCAGATTCAAAATCAAACCCACAAAGTAGAAGGGAAAAAAGAACAAAGAGCCTCATCACATCAAACCATCTCAAAGTATTTTATAGCAATTATTGAGAAGTGTAGTGACTTTTTGTAGGTAAGCGCGACCGGCCCTTATACAGTCTTTAGGACAAGCTGTTAAACTGAGCTCTTGAGTGGTAGTTTTCAGATGGACCTCAAGGATCCTGTGGTAGAGTTTGAAGAGAGAAGGGTGATTCTCCTGGTGTCCTGGCCAACAATCCTCCAGATCAAATGGCCATTCAACACATGGCTCTTTGTGGGAGCTGCTGTTCAAAATGCCTAACACATACACCTACAAATACAGCCACTACACTTGACAGCAACTACTTATGAAGCATCATCTCCCCAACTGCACTGACACACAAATCCTGAACTACAGAAACAACCCTGAAGTGCTTCGAGACATCCTCCCAACACAAAAGGTGTTATACCAAATGTATAGCTCTTAGTAACTCTGACCCTCCACTGGCAGCTCCCCATCATCAGCCCATTCCCCCCACCCTCGGCTCCATCACAAACCCATTACCCCCCTGGCTTAGCATCAGTTTCTTATTCAGGAGCGAGACGAACACTAAAGTCTTCACTATAGGGCTTCAGAGACTGCATTCAGCGAATTAAAAAAAATAAAACAAACCCCCCACTGTGGGCACTCCGACAGCAGAGTGTGTCAGAATGTGAACCCAAAGTAGCCTTGGATCCCTTTAAGGACTCTCCAAACAACATCTGGAACTTTCAAAGTGGCCAGCTGCTCAGCATCGTTTTCATGCTGGTTTTCTGGGGCATTTCAAGAGCTCTCCTCACTACCCCCTCTTTGAGCCACCATTAAGGAAAACAAACTAGTTTCTTTTTTTTCTTATGAGAATTAAAACAAAAAGCACAGGAGCGGGGGGGGGGGGGGGGAGGTAGAATAATATGCATAGAGGCAAATTGCTCTCAGAAGCCTCCTACCAATGCATCTATGCCTCTCGGATGCAAAAGCATCACCATAATGTACATATGACAGACGAGGAAGAATGATAAATAACTGGAAAAAACTGTGCACTAATAGTGAGAGCAACAAAAATGCATGACTGGAACTTGATCAGATTCAAGTCATAGAACAGACTTGGCATCTTTGAGCATATTATAACTATATCCAAACTTTTCTCCAGTGATTTCTACGTTTAAAGTCAGTTTTTTCAACAGCAAGAAATAAAAAACTTGGACTGTGTACTCCAACCTTGCCGTTCCACCGTTTAATTCTATAAATAATCAACTGGGATAATCAATAATCAACACCCCCAACCAGCCTCCAAAAAAAAATTCACCTTTCTCCACAAAAAACATAACAGCCAGACAGTCCCAAACTCGTCAGGTTCCGCATTCCTTACAATTTTCAAACCCGGGCGCAAATATGCCTATCTAGTCGTTCTCGTGTCTAGTCACGTTTGCTGCCCATAATGTCGAGAAGCCTTTGAAATCGCCTATTTTAAAAATAAAGACTGGCCAGGTGTTTGCCTGACTCATTTGGTAAGTCACCATGCTGTCCATAACCCAGCCGCATTTATTTATGTGTTTATACATATGCCTAACTCGCCACTCTGGATAACTCGTCACTGAGCCCTTTTTCCCTTGGAGCGGACGGGCTATCAGGAGTTTACTGTAGGTCAACCTGGCAAAGTTGGCCGACGCTCCCACAGCGCTGGGGGAACTCTGCACATTGGGAGGTGCCGTCTTTCAGGTGAGTCGTTAAATCAAGGTCCCGTCTGCCTGTTCAAGCAGATGTTAAAGATCCCATGGCAATACTCAAAAGAGAATAAAAGTCCTGTTCAACATTCCCCCCCAGATACAAATGGTCATTCACTTCAAAGCCGTTGGCGGGACATTGCTATGTACAAATTGGCTGTTGGGTACACCTACAAGATATGCAGTCATGCATTCTGCAGTAAATCCTGTGAAGCACTTTGAGACGTCCTCCTGATGTGAAAGTCACCATATTAAAATACGAGTATTATCATTACTTTGCAATAATTTGCAAAAACAACAAAAACTTGGATTTATATAGCAACCTTCATGAATGATAATGTATCAGAGCACCTCACAATGACCCACGCTGAGCAAAGGAGAAGGGGAAATGGAAGGCGACCATAGATGCGATTGATAGGTAGATTTTAAGGCAGGATTTAAAGAAACATAGAGAGAGGGCAAAACAGACGGAGCTTGAGATCAAGGGCATAACAGACCTTAGTTTTAGAATAAAGCCTTCAAATCAAATTAAATTTGAAAAAGTCACTGGGCAGATTACATTCGATCATTGCATCGATGACAGAGATTACACAGTATTCAGCAAATACCTAAAAATGGGACAGACCAGTTGTTGCCCAAACAAAGCAATCTCATCTCACAGTACAATTTGCTTACTCACTTCACCCGATAGCTTGTTGTGTCCATTTGCCCGGTGCAAATTTAAGTAAAGTAACACTGTTGGGCCGAACAGGAATTTCACAATGATGCTGTTACACTGATTCCAATGGTGCAGAAAAGAATCATGCAAACTATTTGCCTTCACTGGCTCAATGAGTAAAGCCACCGCCTGTTGTGAACAGACAACACAGAGCAGGAAACCCCCAGGTTTCAGGTGGAGAAAGTGATCCAGGGCTTTTGTTTCAAATCTAGCTGTGAGGCAGATGCATCAGGATCAGGTGCCATCTCAACTGTGATGGGTCTCAATAAATAGTAATAGTAATAATCCTTGCATTTGATATAGCACCTTATCACACCGTTGAATAAAATACTGGAAGATGGCTGCCCTTCAAGCCCTCCCTACAGATTATTGTTAACAATAACAACCAGGCTTTCAGCAAGAGGAGGGAAAAGAGAGAGAGAGAGAATGACCATGTCGTTGCACAGCAGTAGGTCAGGAAAAAATGGGATTATTGAAAATTCAGAAATGGTGCCAGTCTTAGAATCAAGTATTCAGTTGTCAAATTAAAC